AACTTAGTTTTATTCAAACAAAAAAGTATTAGGTACATAGGTATCATTAGTAATACATCACTTGGTCAAAATAATATTAAAACTTATATACTAAACAAAAGAAACAGTGCAAAAAACACATAATACCTTGTTAGGTATCATAAAATAATAAAAAACAGATCTGATCTGAAATTTGTTTTAGTATCTCTAGACTAAAATAGCCCGAAATGTTCAAAATATTTTTTAGAGAAGGCGGTAGTGGAGGCAAGTCCTTCTCAAAGTCTAGTTGTTCGTTGTCCATTTTATTGTACCTAAAAGTATTTAAAAAACGTATATTAGTTTTTAATAAGCTAAAAAATGCTCGAAAAAATGCAGTGAAACTATTCTCAAATAAAGGAAACAAAAATTCCATTCTCAAATTTGACCAATTTAAATAAAATATTTTTCTTTTTTTATATAATCAATCGCCTGTTGCGGCATTAGCCAAAGGAGCAGCTGTTTTTAGGAGGAACCGGTCTCTCGATATTTTTGTGACAACTAACTTTGAGTTTTTTTTTCCATCTTTCGTTTATTCTCATATAGTTATACAAAAAAAGATAAAAAACGGTATTTTTTTCATTATTCCATTAACAAATAAGTATAGTTTAAGAAACTAAAAAAAAAAACACGCTTTTAATGCACTAAAAAGTAAAAATAATAACTTTTTTTAACGTTCAATGACTATGCCAGTTACGTTTTTTTTTTTTGAAAAGCATGTACTTTTAATTAATTTCTAAGATGCACCCCACGGTTTCTGACATAGCCAATGCACATTAAGAAAAGTTAGTTCTTACTTTGTAGTCATTAAAAGCGTCTTTTATTAGTTTTTTAAACTATATTTAATTTTTAGTCATAATATTTACGTCGAGATTTACGTTAATATATTGAATTACTAATATTACAATTAAAAAAAATGTGAAATACAAAATGTAAAAAAAACAACCCTTTCGGGAATAGAGCTTATTTCTAATAAAATGGTGTTAAAAAAATTTAAATAAACTCACTTACCTTTTACATTCGCCAATAAATAACACACACACTACTACCACATCTCTGCTTTACGTAAGTTATGCTTGTACGTATTTATAACAGGTACATACAAGTACATTCTTGTATGTACTCATCACTATTATAGCAGACGGAGCAGACCTGATTAAATAAAATACAGCCGAAAACAGACTTGCACGTGTTGCCAAAGACCTAAAGCAAATAGCCGCGTGAGCGCGTGCCGTGGTACCTGTTAAAATGATGTGCGCACGCAATTACGCTTTTCCGATTCTACACGACTACAGCCGAAGTTCCTGGATCTCCACGTATCTCCAGGGATATCCATGTATCTCCACGGATCTCCATGGACATCCATGTATCTCCACGGATCTCCATGGATCTCCATGGATCTCTATGGATCTCTATGGATCTCCATGGATCTCCACGGATCTCCATGAGATCTTTATCCCGTAGGACAGAAGATTTCCACAGTGACTACCCCCTCGTTAAAGCTGCACAAATGTGTTATGGTCTAACTGTTAAAGACACCTGTGAACATGCCTATCGGTTTGCTATTGCGAATGAAAAAACGGTAACGGATTCTTGGCACAGAAATAAAACAGCTGGTATAGAGTGGATAAGATTATTTCGAAAAAGATAAAAAAAATTAATCTTGAGGTTGCCTGAGGCAACCAGTCTTAGTCGCGCCACCAGCTTTAATAAGCATAATGTTAGTAAGTTCTTCGACCAGATACAGAATGTGATATCCAAACATAATTTTACAAATTTATAACTGTGTTGAAACTGGCGTGACCACAGTACACAAGCCACCCAAGGTAATTGCACCAAGTGGTCAAACACAAGTTGGGAAAATTACTAGTGCTGAAAGGGGCCTTCTTGTCACAATGTGTTCAACTATATATGCAAATGGAACATATATTCCTCCATTTTTTATTTTCCCGCGAAAAATTTTTAAGGCTCATATGCTAAACTCGGCACCGCCAGGGTCTAAAGGAGCTGCTCACAAAAGTGGATTGATGACAGCCGAGAATTTTAAGATTTACTTGAAACATCTAGTTAATGTTCTTAGGTGCAGTCAGGAAAACAACATTCTTTTAGTGCCGGACAATCATGAAAGCCATTTGGATTATCGGGTATTAAAATTTGCCAAACACAATGGCATAGTGCTGCTGACATTACCTCCCCACTGCAGCCATAAACTTCAACCATTAGATGTAAGCTGATATGGTCCATTCAAAACATACTACAATAAATCCGTTGATCAGTGGATGTTAAATGACCCTGGTGTACCTCTTAACATGTACAATATTGCCGAAATTGTTGGAATATCGTTCCCTTCTGCCTTTATGCCGTCAAACATTATTAAAGGATTTGAAAGAACAGGAATAGTTCCATTTAATAGAGATGTTTTTGACGACTCTGAGTATCTATGTTCGTATGTCTCCGATAGACCTATGACAAACATGGCAAAACCTACTACAGAAACGCAACATAATGAACAGGAGCCTAATTGCCAAGCAGAAAAATCGCTTGAAGAAATACAACCTAGCACCAGCGGAACTTGTAACGATATTTGCATCGAACGGCAATATTCCAAGAAGCAGCAGACTGGGTCAGTTTCATTCGTTTCTCCAGAGTTAGTAAGACCTTAACCTCACTTGAAAGCTAAGGAAAGAAAGGAAACTAGGAAAGGAAGAAAAAAGAAGATATCAACGATGCTGACTGATACGCATATTCTCGAGGAAAGAAAAAAGAGGAAATGAAGAAAGAGTTACAAGAAATGTTCAGAGCATTAAAAGGAAAGTGTTTGATTCTTCTAGCGATAGCGATGCTGATGAGGAGGTGCCCTACGATGATTCTAGTGATGCTAGTTTTTGCGATAAAGAAGAAAGTGAGCTACAAGTAACAGATTTTGTCATAATAAAATATGTCCTTAAGAAAAGCATTACACATTATGTTGGAGAGATAGAAAAAATAGAAAATGATGGGATTCATGTTAATTTCTTAAAATTTGAGAATGCAAAGTTTTTCTTCCCCGAAATAAAAGATGAAGATATATTAGGAAGAGAAGACGTTGCTTGCAAGCTACCAAAACCAAGCTACTATTGTGGAACAGAGAGGACTATTAAAAAAATGTGTTTTGATTTTGATTTTAGCAAATACAATATTTAGGTATTTTGAAGTTTTTTGAATGAGTTAAGTTTTGAGTTAAATTGTTATTACTGAAATGTTTTTCTATTATTTTTGTAAAATATTTGTTCTTTCGTTTGTAATTAAGATTTTATAAAATATTTGCAGTTTAGAATAAAAAAAGTACATTTTAACATGAATTAAATTGCTGTCCCATAGTGTACCACGCCTTGTCCCGGTAAGTACCACTGGGGTGGTTCTTATTGGGACAGCGGGTGTATACTGGGACACCTGACTTTTTCTTTACACCTTAAATATTTTTCTGGTAAAATCCAAATTTTTAGGTAACCATTACCAACAAGTATAACATATTCCGACTGATTTGTTTTTCTTAATTAAAATTAATTAAAATATGGCACAAAGAAAAAAAAAGTCCCAATATATACCATGCTTCCCTACCTACTTGACATGAGCCACCTATGATTTTTTACAATAAACGTCAATATTGTCTTAAATAATCAAAATTAATCGGAAATTGTAAGTGGTGCATTAATTTTGAACAGGAGTTTATATTATATAGTAAGCATCATAAGTCTTACCCTATCTAACTTGTTACTGGAGTCTTGTTAGGAAAATCGCTGAAAAACGTCGATTTTTGATTTCTACAATGTACATTTTTGTATGAATAATGTACCCTTAATTTTATCCCTTACTGGAGGGGCGCAACCCTTTCGATAAATTTAAATGGCATGGGGTGTTGAGTGATAGCTCATTTTCAAGGGGGTTTTATTCTCTATTCAACCGTGCAATTCTCGACTAATTATTGTTAAATTGTTATATTATATTGTTATAAAATTAAAATTCGGCCCTGCAGACGTGAAGTAAGACTTTTTGCCATTAGATAAGGTCACTGTTTAGTTGCTTTCCTATTTATGTTTCGTTATTTTTGAACATTAATAAATCAACAAGTAATGAAGCAAATTTCAAAAATGTTTGCACGGTTGAATAGAGAATAAAACCCCCTTTCAAATAAGCTATCACTCACCACCCCATGCCATTTAAATTTTTCGAAAGGGTTGCTCTCCTCCAGTATGGGATGAAATTAAGGGTAAATTATTCATACAAAAATGTACATTGTAGATATCAAAAATCGACGTGTCTCGGCGATTTTCCTAACAAGACTCCGGTAACGAGTTAGTTAGGGGGAGGTAAGACTTATGATACTCACTGTATATATTTTTATTTACGAAAGTGAGTGTTTTTGTCCGTATTTTTTTAAATGTTATAAATTCTATTTATTTCGATTTATTATTTAGAATATTATGATCTGTTTTAACTCGATTATTCTTATTTTTGTTTTTTTTTAATACATTTTATAATACAAAATAGCGTACTTTTAAAAATAATAAGTGGTTTTAAAAAAAATCCTAATCCGCCCTTTTAACTGTTTGCCACCCACGCCCCGCAAGGCTGGCTACGCCACTGGTTCAAATTTTTCCTCTAAAATTTTCTTTGTTGATTTCCTCAGGAACACAATTTTTGACTTAGTGAGTTTTCGCTCTAATCCCATGATATATTGCTTCAAGTTTGCAGCACTTTTGTAATTTTTTTAAGAAAATTATAATAAATTCTAATTTTTTGGAACTAATAATATGTTCCGGACCTCAGAAAAACTTGCAAAATTAAATTTACAATTATTTCAATTCAATAAATATTCCAACAAACTTTGAAACTTTTGTAATTAAAACGCGAATTGATTATCTCTAATGACTGGCCTATTGTGTTTACACTTTCCACTGCACTTGTTGCTTTAACACGAAAAATTACGTAAAAAAGATACTCACGGCAAACAGAAGGTTAGCTAAAAACACTAAATATTTAACAATCCCTGTGGCACATCCCATATTGGATTATTTAATTAACACTCCCGAATTGTCTTAATATAAAATAGTTAAATGTCTTGTTCGTAGGCACGTCGCACAAAAGAGAAAACGCCTTTTTATTATAGCTAAAGCTACCTAGTTACAATGTTTATTTTTGTGAACGATTCGACCGTCGCCGTAACCTAAATAAAAATATTCTGGCGTTTTATTCACTTCGCCTTAACTCGGGCTGCACAGCACAACACTGAATGAATAGTAGGTATACTGAAATTGAATGTTGTTGAATGTTTAACCAGCCGAGAGAGTCGAAGGTTGAAAAACAGGTTATTGTGAATAATAGAACTAAACTCTCCTCAAGAGTGTTGTAATTATCTGGCCAAACTTAAACTATGGATTTCGTAAACTACGGATGGGTGATGACGTTCTTATTCTGAAAGTTTAATGAGTATTTACATTAATGATGATTATTATTGGTTTTTTTTTGTCTACTACGATGAGTAATATTGTGTGGCGGTCAGTTAGGAGGAAATGTTATTGTTACCAGTGGCGACTCGTGGCTTAGTCTGCAGAGGGGTTTATTGCTAATACTAGAATGTGAAATACCTATAGCAAGGGCAAAAGTTGGAAAGGCTCACAGTTCTCCTAGTTTATACACAGAAATTGACAGTTTTGCGGCAGAGCTAAGCAGGGCCCGGCTCGCTCCAAGGCCAGACAACCCGGACATTTCTCCGGGGTGACAAATCTTAGAGGCGGCATTTTAACAGTCAATGGGGTCTATTCTGTAACAATTCCTTTATATTTAACGGCTTTTAAAAATATTTTCTTCTCTACTTCCGTCATTATTTAAACGGATCTTTAAAATACATTAGAGGACTATCTTAAAGAAATCTGTTTAAATAATGACAGAAGTAAATTAACGAATACAAACATAGTTTTAAAGGTCGCCAATATTTTTGAAGGCCGTTAAATATTTTCTTCTTTACTTCTGTCATTATTTAAACGGATTTTTAAAATACATTTGAGGACTATCTTAAAGAAATCTGTTTAAATAATGACAGATACGAAAATGTTTTTAAAGGCCGCCAATATTTTTAAAGGCCGTTAAATATAAAGGAATTGTTACAGAATAGACCCCAATATGTGACAAAATATTATAAATAATAAAATTAAAATATTTAATAGCATGCCACCTTTTATTTGTAAACATATTTCTTTTTATAAGAAAGTTCTTTTTCATCTATACAGGGTGGGCCACTTAAAAGTTCCAACCTCCCTGATCTTCGATATTCATTGGGATATCGGAATAATTTTTGTTTTGTTTGAAAAATTGGAACAAAGACTTTTTTACGATGGATTCAATTATTCTGTGACGTCATGGCTTACTTCCGGTTTTTCCAGAAATAACAGAAAATCATAATTTATTTTTTATTTTTAAATTAAAACCCACTTTTTTTATTGTAAATTTCAATTTCTGGGACATTTTTGTGTAATAATCGTATATTGAAAATTTTCTGACAGCTGTCAAAATGGCCGCCATATTGAATAATATTTTTTCTAAACATGTTACTACTAATTCGTTTATTGCAAAAGTATAGGAATATATAATCTTTGTAATCTTCAAAATTTTCATTGAGACCCATTTACTGTGTACCAGTGGCGTATCTAAGCATTTTTATTATTAGCAAACCGTTTAATAATTCCATCTGCTTTTATCTTCGTTGTTAATTTAGATATCGGAATGAAACCTGTTTTGTTTAAAAGCATATAACAGATACTTTCATATACTAGATTCAATTGATCTGTGACGTCATGGCTTACTTCCGGTTTTTCCGGATATAACTAAAAATCGCAATTTATTTTTAAATTTAAAATCGAATTATAATTTCTGGGACAATACTGTACAATAAACGTATATTGAAAATTTTCTGTCAGCTATTAAAATGACCGTCACATTGGATAATATTTTTTTTAATGTTACTGTTAATTCGTTTATGCAAAAAATATGGGGATGTATAATATTTTTATTTTTTCCTTGTAGTTCTTGGGTTTTTAGGTGTTGGTTGAGGAATGAAACTCGTGTATGTGGGTAAAACTTTCGGCACTGATCAGTGCCTTCTTCAGTAATTTATTTTTTTAATATTTGTACATTATCATTTTTACACAGTCAAAATTGTTCTTTAGTACACCTTGGGGTGTGTCATTAAATTTGTTAAATGTTTGAAATCTTTTTTTTTTATATTATTATTATATAATTAATTTTTATACTTGTCATGTCCGTTTTTGGTGCTGTAGTATCCGTTGAGATTGTATGGGTGTTGTTACCCCCTTTTTACGGGCCCTTATAGAGGTCCGGATTTAAAGAAATTAATTTGGTTTTACGATTTCTTTTTGGTTTGGTGGTTTAACGACCATGCGGTTTTTGCTAGATTTGTCAATTACCCACATACACGAGTTTCATTCCTCAACCAACACCTAAAAACCCAAGAACTACAAGGAAAACATATAAATAAAGGTGTATGAAAATACTTTTAGAATAAATAGCGGCTTTGTAGAAACATCTTACTATTAATTTTATTTAACTTTTTGGAGGCAATTATTTTTGTTTTTTATTTTTTAATTTTTGAATAGTTTCTAAGATGATATCAGGTTCTCTGAATAACATTCCCCGATTATGCCTTGGATCTACCATTTCTGGCAACATACAGTTTATATAAAACTTTTTTAACTTCTCCTCCATATTTTTACACCAGAAATCGTCTCTTTTTATTATATATTTCACTTTAAGTGGATAATTGGGACCTGTCCATACACCAAAAATACATCCTTTTCGTCCTGTAATATGTAATTGGCCTTGTATTTGATAATACCCATTGATGGAGGACATGGGCGTCGTTACACAATTCTATAGGGAGAGGCAAAATTTTTAAAAAATTTAGAATGTTTATTTGTTGAAAAACAAAGAAAATGACAGATAAAAGAGCAATACAAATTGACAAAAGTTTCTAATAAATAAAATAACCCAACAAAAAAAGACAAAAACTAAAACACATATTTTTAAAAAACAAACAAAAGTTGTGATATAGAAGAAAAATATGAGAAGAATACATAAAAATAATAAAAAAAAATATTTATAGAAACATAAAAACTCACTCAAACACGTCGACGAAAAAAAAGTAAACGCAAATTTTTAATTTCTTCTTCCTCTACTAAAAATAATCGATAACAGAAAACATGATTTCTTTTTAGTTTTTTACAATTATTTTTCGATGTGCGCTCATTATTCAAAGCCCAGTCAGCCTATTTTCATTGATTATTCGCTCTGTGCGTGATAGCAGCGCTAACTAATTTATAAACTAACGGACGATATTTGCGTATACTGGCAAAACAATTTTTAACAGTATTCGTAATTAAAAAATATACATGTTAATTTTAATAAAAGTATATGGATTTGTAAAACAAGTGAAAAAATTAATTATTGTTATATATTTTTATTACTTCAGCTAAAAAAAGTAGTATAATCAATAAAAATCAATAATACAACATAGACAGGCAACACTATTTACAAGAAAATGTATGATATGTTGCCTAAGCTTAATAAGTTGTCATTGAAAAATAGGTTAAATAATGTAAAAATAAAAACATTACCATTATATAATAACGTAGTATCAAACCGTATTAACAAAAATAATTGGTATATTTGCGATTGTAATTTATATTTTCTTAATTTTTAGTTCGAAAGAACCCATAGAAATTAATTATTAAAATTGGTTTCCTATCAATAAGTCACAAGATTGCATTTCAGACACATACAATAATCAAAGGCGGAAATCTAATCCTTGCTGAACATTTAAGAGTTAAGGGATGTTGAATTACATTGTAAAATAATCATTTATTGTTTATCTTATACCTTTCAATTTTTTGATGTCAACTATTTCCAGTATTACTGTTAGTATTACAAAAATAAAGGTCTTTTTCTTCTTATTGTACTATCCATTTATTTTTTTGATTTAATTTCCATTTTGCTACTGACAATTTATATAATTTACACCGTTTTTTCTGCTAGTATTTTTACAATTTACAACACAGCAACTACGCTTGCTTTTTGTTCTGTTTTTACCTACTTTAAAAAAAAATTAAAATGTATACAGGTTCGTGTAAGACAGTATTTCTCAGAGTGTGCTGTGAGTAAGTTCGTCACAAAAGGGAGGACACCTGGTTTAAGAATTTTTTTTTAGATTTCAGTAAGAAAGGATCTGATTTTACTTGAGGACCTTTCTCTATAAATGCTCCGGAGTTCTAAACCAAAAAAATCTATTTTAGGGTTCCGTCACACATTTCGCTTTTCAAAAGGATTCCGCCAAAAAAGTTTGTGAAACACTGGTGTAAGATATGGATATGGAATAAATATATTCAATCTATTATATTCGTCAACTGTGTTAGCCTGAATATTATTTCTATGAGATTGTTTTCCGTAATTCGTGGCATTTAGGTATTAATTTCACGTAATAATACGTCAATTCGCATGCGCTTATACTTAATTTAGTACTAAAAATTGGTATCGTTACAAAAGGAAAAAAATATTTTTAGTTCTAAATTTAGTACTAAATAACTTAATTTAGGGCTAAATTTTAGTACTTAATTTAGTATCGTGACATGCAGCCATAATATTAGGTGTTATTTCTATAATAATGTTGTCTAAAATCTTTTTTCTACACCCGTATTATAATAATGCACTTATATGCCCATAATCCGTTTCATAATGATACCCATTATGATACAGATTTTTCATTATGATACAGATTTTTAATCAATAGAAACCTACAATTTTTCAATCAAGCATGATGTTTGACGTTTGTCCTAAATTCCTATGTAATTATTTTAGTTGTCAAAACGTATTAAATTTTCGTAGATAGCTAAACTTCGATAATTATAATATTAAAATGTCTGATATCAGCGATATAGAAGACTTCTCCACACATATCGGAGAAAGGAGAAAATGCAGTACAAAATATTTTGCCCCAAAAATCTGTGGTAATACCAATACCCAAGGTAATACCATTAATTACAATTTTGTAGAATTTTTTATAGAAATACGAGTAATTACTGTTATTGTGTTCAATGCCAATATAAATAGAATATTTATAGGTCTTGATTATTTATCGGGTGTAGAAAAAATAGCGTATGCAACTCTCATGTAATGGTTATTAAAACACTCGCATAAACCATACGAAACTCGCCTTTGGCTCGTTTCGTATCCCGGTTAATGCTCGTGTATTAATAACCATCATTACATGATCGTTGCATAATATACTATAGTTTTGCATATATTCATGAATTGCTAGAAAAATAATTCTCTTAGCTTTTTATCACCTGCTGTTTAATGAATTAGTATATTATTTCTAAATTAATTGC